TTTGAACCTCGTTCTAACATCTTACTTGGTTATTCTGAGTCTCTGTGCCTGTTTCACTGCCTTTCACAGCTTTTTAATAACTTCCTAAATAAAATTCAAATTCAAATTTCATTTGTCACGTACACAGTCATACACAGTACGATATGCAGTGAAATGCTTACACAACTGCTCGTGACCTAAAGCAAAAAAGACTATGAATAGGATAGGAAATAAATATGAAAATTAAAAAGGGTAAATTTAACTAGGAAGGAATAAAATAAAATATAAAAATTAAAGTTGAAAATAAAATAACTGTACAACAAAATACACAATATAGAAATATATAAGATGTATGAAGAAATATAAATAAATATATACACAATAACAGCAGCTGTACAAGTATTAACTGGAAATGAAGAATATAGTGACCAGTGTTGTGCGATCCACATTATGTCTTGTGCAGTGCAAATATGCTTAAAGTGATTTAAGTGTTGTGCAAAACCAAAGTCCAGAAAGTCCAGTGTGTGTGTAAGAACTGTATGTGTGGGTCAGTACTGTGTGGTGGTGTGATTGAGAGACCGTATCGCCTGCGGGAAGAAGCTCCTCCTCAGTCTCTCTGTGTTGGTCTTCAGGGAGCGTCATGCTCGGAGATGACGAGCACGTTTCCGGCGTTGGCGGTATCTTCCTGTCTGCAGCCTGTTTATGTTTCTTTTACACTGTTTAATGTAAATGAAGTCAAATATATTGATCATGTGATTTGTGCTGATTATCTCAGTCACAGTTTGAAAAGATTAAATTCATCATATATTTTTAAATGGTTGCTAATGGAACTGAAGGACATCGTGAATAAATAATAACCGATAATCATGTCGTTAGATTTTTATGTCCAGAAATGCAACGAGTGATTTTAAGGTTAAAAAAATCAAATGTATGAAATAAAGTGGGTCTAGACTGAGAGGACCAGGGTTTGTTATGAACAACATGTGTGCTCATTAAAACTGCAGCTGAGCTTCATGCTTTTCAGTCTGCACTGGATCAACGACCTGCCCGGAGCTCTCAGACAGGTGAGACGAACCTGCTGCGATACCATGACTGACTGCAGCTCGCCCGTTAACGTTTCGTTGTGCGCCGTCCTCTCAGATTCACCAGGTGCTGAAGCCGGACGGGGTGTTCATCGGAGCGATGGTGGGCGGCGAGACGCTCTACGAGCTGCGCTGTTCCCTGCAGCTGGCCGAGACGGAGCGGGAGGGCGGGTTCTCGCCCCACATCTCCCCCTACACCGCCGTCACCGACCTGGGAAACCTGCTGGGCCAAGCTGGCTTCAACATGCTCACTGTGGTGAGTCAGCGTGGCTGCATTTGTTAAACACGCAGAATGTTTTACATCAGCTCACGGTGACCTCTGACCCTTCCGCCTCTTTGTTCCAGGACATCGATGACATTCAGGTTCATTATCCAGGAATCATGGAAGTCATGACGGATTTACAAGGTACGAGCTGGGAACCATTCGTTTGAATCATGTGGTTCCTGCAACATTCAAACATGGCTCTACAGTCGCCCTCTTCACGTGGAAGCAAAGGAAAGCGAACGAGGATCTGCACCTGATGAGCGCAGAGCCAGAAATGACGACTTCAGTCTGATCACAGCGACTCTCAGAGTCGTCGGCACAGAGCTTTAGGTGACCGAGTCCCAGGACGCCGGCTCGTGGAGGTCCCCGAGTGAACGTGCTGCTTTTATTCCTCCTTTCATTTGCCTGCAAACAGGCTTCAAACCGAGCGGCAGAGGCTCCGCCTGAATAAGAGAGCATTTCAGGATTCGCTGTTTAAGCTAAAACAGTTTGATGACCTCACTGCGGTTTGATCGCTGAACCGGTTTCGGATCTGAAGTCATTCGTGAGGCTGTTAGTTTGAACAAACTTTCGATTAAAGTTTAAAAGTGCAGTGTTCGTGATGTGCTGTGTGCAGGTATGGGTGAGAGCAACTGTGCGTGGAACAGGAAGTCGCTGCTGCACAGAGACACCATCTTAGCAGCAGCAGCGATTTACAAAGGTGAGTCTGAGCCGCTGTCTGATTGGTGCTAAATGACATGTGATACACTGATGAGTATTAGTAGCGTCAGATTCACAAAATGTGTGGACTGGCCGATTTTGTTCGTACCGCCCGGTGCACGCGAGGGAATCGGTCTGCTCCATGTTCACCTCGTCCGAGCAGGAAGCCAGAAAAGGTGCACGTGTACAAACCGGAGGGATGAGGAGACGCGGTCGGGCTGAAAGGAGGAACAGAGGATGAAGAACACCTGATCACCCTTTAACCCAGGGGTCCAACTCCAGGCCTCGAGGGCCGGAGTCCTGCAGGTTTAGACGTGTCCTTGATCCAACACAGCTGATTTAAATGGATAAACGACCTCCTCAACATGTCCTGAAGTTCTCCAGAGGCCTGGGCATGAACTAATCATGTGATTCAGGTGTGCTGACCCAGGGTGGGATCTGAAACCTGCAGGACGCCGGCCCTCGAGGCCTGGAGTCCGACACCTCTGCTCTAGACTCTAACCTGACGCTAGGTGAGGGTTTAAAGGGATAAAGCACTTCTGAGCGTGAGCACAGGCAGCGGTGTAGGTAACAGGTGGAGGCGTGGCCTCAGTTTGAATGAGGTTGACACGAGCACGTGCGTGAGAAGGTTCTGGGTTTGAATCTGCGTCTCTGCTAACAAACAAACTGTTATTCGTAATTAACGATAGTTGAACAAACACTGAAGCCAGTCAGAGCCGACGCCGTGTTTCTGTTTGCTCATCAGTGACGCGTCAGGCTGGCGCTTTAGTCACAGCGCGGCGGTTCATGTGTCACTGTGTTTTTCTCATGTGCCTGAAATGTTTCAGAGATGTACGGCAGTGAGGACGGCTCCATCCCCGCCACCTTTGAGATCCTCTACATGATTGGCTGGAAGCCTCACGAGTCTCAGGTGAGAACACCTGATGTGCGCTTCAGTCTGTTTCTGCTGCGTTCACGGTGGAGCGATCTCCATCTTTAGGACGTGAGCGTGGCAGAATAACAAACAGCTTCTGCTTTTAGAAAAACCAGATTTTAGAACCATGACTTCAGCGTTTTTTCTCTTTCAGGCCAAACCGGCGAAGCGAGGCTCGGCCACCGCGTCGTTTGGAGATTTATCAAAGACCGGCTGACCGAGCGGCACGGACCAACCGTAGAGCCTCGGAGCCGACTGTAGACGCCATATTTAATGAAAATAAAATGTTTTAGAGGCAAGAAACGTGAACTCTGATGTACAGAAGACAAATATGATGTTGAAAGAGTTTGTCTTTGACAGGAAGTTGTCTTTTAGAAATCTAAAAATAAAAGCTGACACATCTGTTCACGTGGCTGAAACTTGAGAGAAACCAAACGGTTGAAGTGGGATCGAAACACTCGAAGTCACGTTCACTCAAATATCAGACACACAGCAGCAGCTCGGCGCATGCAGACGTGGTGAAGGCGAGCTGCTGAAGTCCAAACTGAGCATCCGAATGATGAAGAAAGGTGGTCAGTGACTGAACGTGGCACTGGTATCACTCCTGTCAGTGAGAGCAGGAAGCTGAGGCTCACACTCACAGACCTGGCCAGCAGATGGAGAAAGAGTTTGAGTTTTGGTCTGAAACTTTTGATCAGGGCTGTATCTGCAAATCAAAAACCTCAAGACCAGAGAGATCAGGCTGATCCCAAAACGGCGTTCATGAGGGTCGCCGCAGGGTGGAGCGCGCCAGGGCGAGTCCCGCCTACCTGCTGTTTAACTGGTCCCATGTGAAATAACCTAAGATGATAAAAATATGTGAATGAGGAACTTTAATACCTGCATATGGGTTTGGCAAATAACTAGAGAAGATTTTTTAAAATAGTGTTTTAAAAACATTTTTGTTCAAAAATCACTCTGTGTGATGTCAGCAAATTAGGAACGAGTGTTTGCAGCCGCGCCATAAATAGCCACCCATCACTCAGAAGTTCCTCTTTCATAGAAACGCTGCTGCCGCCGCTGAGACGTCTGCAGAGATGCTGCTCTGCCTGCTCCTGTGTGTCCACGTCTGTCACAGCGCTGCAGGTAAGAACGCCTCCGTCAGCATGTTCTCACGATTACAGCTGCAACAACGTAACACTGTTTCCTCTGGTTATCTAAGGAAGATAAAGGCTGTTATGTTATGTGACGATTATATGAAGCAGAACAAAAGGACAGAAACTGGAGTCGGTGTTAAGAGACTGAATATGAAAGTGTAGGCGCTGCTTCTGGAGCCGTTTGAGCCACGTGCAGGTTTTATTTGCCGTTCGTGTGTCTCCTCTCTGTGGGGCTCGCTGTGTTTCTAACCATGAGTCCGTCTGACTGAGAAACTGAGCCTAAACACACACACATAACCACGCTTACAGCCCTGCCCTGAACCCTCGCCCGCCTCCTGCGACTCAAACGAGACCAAAACTTCCAAAATAAACTTCATGTTTTATTCACACAGACCATAAACTCATCAGGGAGGTGTTGACTAAGCTCGAGCCGGGGGCAGCAGATCGCCCCCGGCTGGCAGTACTAAGAATGCAGGTTTAAAAGGCTTCAGCATCCAGGCTGTAACATCTGATGAAGTGGTTCTAATTTTAAAAAGAAAAGAAACATAACTCCAGCAGGGCAGGAGTCTGAGGAGAGGAGCCAATGGAGTCAGTCCTGTGGGGCTCCGCCCATGGCCCAACTGTAGGTGGCTGGGAGATAGCAGCTAGATACAGCTGGGCAGTGGAACCAAGTTCCTGCAGTCGCCCTGGGCACGAGGCGGGGGCTGGTGTTCCTGTATCCCCTCAGTCCATGAGAGAGTTGCTTCCCTGCAGCTCTGGGTCAGGGTCCTGACTGCTACATGCCAAATGCAGTTCAGATTACCTACGTGGAGTCACCTGGTGGGGTGGGACTCCATCGTTCGGCTGGGAGACGTCAACACTCAGGTGGGCATTGACATAGTTGGGAGGGGCCTGTGTTCTGTTTCTGGACTTACATGCAAATCACAGTTTGTCCATAATGACCATAACGATGTCCACAGGCACTGGGAGGCCGGGGACACCTCCACTCCTGGAGGAGCTGCAGCTCACGGTGGTTTTAACCCCAGAACCATAACGACATCATCAAAGAGGCCAGCTTACACCTGCTGACTCTGACTGTGGATCGCTTCACTGGCACAATTCACATAAACTTATTAAAGCAAACTAATCACATCTCATTTCTTATTATATGAGATAAATTCAGGTTGTAGGTTTTACTGTGAGTCTGTGCTGAAAGGGCACCAGAGGACGTCTGCCAGTGGTCCTTTAATACACCTGATATATGCGTGACATGCACGACTGCAGCCGTCACAGCAGAGTCACGGAGACTGAACTAAACGAGAAATCAAACAAGCATTCAGAATTTTTATTATCAGGTCAACAAGTCCAGAAAACTCAAGTCTGTCGCCTTCAGGAGCAAAATGAATAAAATGCAAATATTAGTAAAGTAAAGACATTGATTTTAAACCACATCGCAGAGCCGTCCATCAGGTTCGTACGCAGCTCTGAAGGCTGCTTCCTGTCAGAGAGCAGTTTGTTGGTTCCTCAGGCTCCTGAATCTCTTTATCTGAAATAAAGCATAACATGAAACAACAGACTAAAGATAGACAAAGGGGAAATGTCCTTTAAATGTTTAAAAGATGAAAATAACTGGAGGGAAGGAAGGCCGGTCAGCGTGGCGTGAGTCAGGAAGCATCTGATACAGATTCAGACATGTGACATCATCATTTCTGCTTTTTCCTTGGCAGGAATCCCCACTGTCAGCACACGGCAGCACACGGACGCTGTGCTCACCTGTCCTCATGCTCAGGGAGATGTAACCTGGAGCCGAGCTATAAGAGGCACCCGGGTGACTCTTCTCACCGTCCGTAACGGTCACGTGAACAGCAGTTCGAAGCGCTTCGGTTCCCGTAACAACAACGAGCTGCTTATCAGGAATGTGGTAGAGTCTGATACTTCGATGTATCTGTGCAATGAGAGGAAGACCGCCTATCTGAATGTGACCACAGACCCCAGCGTGGTGGATCGAACAGTCACCGGGAGAAAGGACGACCCTGACCGGAAGGTGACGGCTGCAGGTGCTGACACAGCGCCCCCCTCAGACTTGTGGAAAGTTCCTGTTGGCGTGCTGGCAGGAGCTGCACTGGTGCTGTTGTCCATGTTGACTCTGAGACTGTGGAAAGCCGAGAAAGCAGCGAGGGACACGAGGGCGGTGCTGAGCGAGGTGGTTTACGAGGAGATCGGACACGCCGACGTGGAGCCCGGCCCAGCCTCTGAGTCCAAGGTGGAAACCCCTTACTGCTGCTCCGACGTCGGCAACCAGTCAAACACCTCCACAGCACCGACTGCTCCTCTGTACAGCAACCAGTGCAGGCCCCAACCTGAAGGACACGCCTCCGACACCTGCGTGTATCACCTTACCCAGAATCCTCTGCAGATAGAAAGCAGCTGCCGGAGCTCCTCCTGACTCCTTTAAACCAGTTATCATGGGTGAGGGGCGGGTCTGACTGAGACTCCTCCCCCGCGTCCTGCTCCTCCCTTACTATCGAAGGACCATCACCTCCAAAAATTAACTTTCATTTAGTCAGACCTGAAGGCAGTGACTGAGACCATGAACCAATCAGGAAGCAGTTTACCGAGATCAGCGCTTTCCTCAGCAACTTCTATCCAATCAGAACACAGGAGCCCCTCCCACATGCCCTGGAAAGACCATTTCCATCTTTTAGATACAGTCTAATTATTTTCACGTTGCTGAATCAGTTTACGTACAAAATGTCTTAAAATATGACGAACAGGCTGCAGCAGCAGATGCAGATCTTTAATATTATGTGTAAATTTATAAAAGTGATCTTTGAATAAATGATGTCAGTTTATTTCAGAATCACTGCTCTTTGGAAAGCAAAATAATAATAATAATAATAATAATAAACTAAACCAGCAAGAAATATTCATGCTTTAAAAGCTTGCAAGTTTTTTCTGCTTACAAATGATTCAAATAAAAATTTGTTCTCAAATTTTCTCTCAGAGGCCTAATGACCAAAGAGCATCAGTTTAAGACTTTAAATATAAATTATAAGAGAAAACTGTACAAGGCACAACACACACACACACACGTGGGTTATTCATGTCTTGTGGGGGCATCTAATTGACACAAAGGTCTCCCTAACCATCTACAATGAATGCCTAACCCTCACGCTAAAACCACATTTTTAGTCTCAAAATTGGGGCTGTTGGTCCCCACGAGTATAGTAAACCTCGAATTTTTGGTCCCCACGAAGATGTTAATACCCGCGCGCGCGCACACACACACACGCACACACACACACACACACACACACACACGCACACACGTAATACAGTCCTGCGTTGCCATGACAGCGTCTTTTGTTGATAGTGGAGCTGAGGCTCAGATAGCTAACAGCTAACGTGTTTAACTCCAGCCGCAGTTTTCTGTCAGTATAATTAAAGTTTCCGGATCCCTGTGAGTCTGCGCAGTGCGGCACGATGGTGAGTAAAGTTTTACTTTAACCGGTGTTTTTTTCAGTCATGTTGTTGTTAGCATGTTAGCTTAGCCCTAGCCTGTTATCCCGATGAGCGGAACGTCACGCGCCTCTTACCCTTCCGTCCTCAGCCGCCGAAGGCTAAAAGCAAGAAGAAGGGCGGGAACGTGAAGTCTTCCACGGTGGTGGACGGTCTGTCCACGGAGGACATGTCCAAGGATCAGGTCAGAGCTGCTAACGGTGCTAACGTTAGCCTCTCACAGTGTGTGGAGGTGTGAGGGGGTCCATCAGGGGGTCCGCGGCCCGGCCCGGCCCCACAGTCCAACACGTAAAAGGCCCGATTATGATCGTAAAGTAACAAGTACACTGTCCACTTCATTAGGTACACCTGTAACCTCAGCCTGAGAAAATAGATTTACCTGCAACACCACAATCAGATGAAGTTTGAGGCTCTGTGTATTTCCTGCAAACGGCAGTTTTAAGCGGTACGTTTCAGTGACCTGAGCGTGTCTGACCTCCAGCTGGAGGACCACATCATCCACCTCCGGGAGGAGCTGGACCGCGAGCAAGAGGAGAAAAGCTACTTCCAGCTGGAGAGAGACAAGATCCAGGCCTTCTGGGAGATCTCCAAGAGGAACCTGGACAAGACGAAGGCCGAGCTGAGGAACAGGAGCCGGGAGAGAGATGAGGCTGAGGAGCGCCACCGAGTCGAGATCGAAGTGAGCTGCGCACGCGATCCTGGAGGTTTATTGTACCCTAATCCTGACTTTATCTCAACTTAATCTTAGTCCTGACCCGTCCTTGGTCACTGTCCAGGTCTATAAGCGGAAGCTGAAGCACGTCCTGTCTGAGCAGCACAATGCCATCACTGAGCTGAAGATGGAGGCCGTCTCTGCGTCCTCGCTGGTCGAGAAGAAGCACGTGCAGTCTGAGATCGCGCTCCACAGAAACGTTCAGGGTCTGCAGGCGGAGCTCACGGAGAAGAAGTTCCACATCAAGAGCCACATCAAAGCGCTGCAGCTGGTGAGTCGCTGCCCGTAAATCGATTTAACACTTGATTTTTACACCTGGACACCTCGGTGATGTCACTTCCTCCTTGACAGAAACATCAGACGGAGCTGATGGAGCTCACCAACCACTACGAGCACAGGATCAGAGGTAAGAACACCTGTGAGCTCGGCGCCGATCAGGTGGCCTTTCAGCCCTGGGACACCGACCTCCTCCTTCCTTTCCCCCACGTGTACTAGTTCCTTCCTATTCTTTTCCCACTCCTTCCTCTCCATTCATCTTCCTTCATAACCTCTGCTGCTGTTTCCCTCCCTGCGCAGACATCGAGGTGAAGTATCATAAGAAGATGCAGATGATGATCCAGGAGGAGAAGAAGAAGCGTCAGGTGGCGGTTGCCGAGCTCGACGAGAGGATGAAGAGTCGAGAGGCGGCTCTGATTGAGGAGCACGACCGAGCTCTGCGGAGAGTCGAGGAGCATTTCACGTCCACTCGGGAGAGACTGCTGACAGACCAGAGGACGCTCAAGGTGAGACCCGTGAGCCGGGACGGAGACTTCAAGGCTGTGACTCAGGAGGCGTGCGGTGGGTGGAGCACAGGGACACAGATTCAAGGTTTTTACACATAAAATAATATTTGGAAACTTTCATTTTCACAGACTTTGTGTTTGTTTGCAGTCCTCCAGCTTCAAAAGGTCAAAGGTAACACAGTTGGACATGAAATAGCATTTTTACACAAGATCTGATGGAGAGTTCAAAGAGTTCACGGCTGCCTGCAGGGTTAGGGTACCGAAGAAGAGCTTAGAGTTCTTCGAGAACGATCTGCTTCGTGCGACCTGTTGGGCCGCTCACATTTCAGCAGATCGGGCAGGAATGAGGATCTCGTTTCTGAGATGTTTGACCAGAACATCTTCACAGATCTGAAACTTCTGTCCAAGCTGTCTCATTGTGACTCACTTCCTGCTGTGGATACGAGTTACATAGCAGATCTTTTTAGAGCAAGTTCTTTATGAGGTAAAATATCTTCTATGTGTTTGCTGCAGAAACTGAAATTAAAGGAAACTTGCTGTTAAATTCTGGATCCTACATTTCCCAGAATGCTGCTTTTTGTTTGGGGCTCACTGCTCGATAAAGCTGAGACCTGCCAGCGGTGTGGCCGTCTGTCTTCACGCTGCGTTTCCTGTGTTTGGTAGGAGGAGCTCACGGAGGCGCAGAAGCAGCAGGCTCGGGTGTCCCGAGAGTTCTCCAAGGCTCAGGAGGAGAACAGAAGCCTGAAGGAGGCTCTGCCGGAGGCCCAGCGGGATCTGGCTGAGCTGCGCCGCCGGCTGGAGGAGCACAACCGCTGCAAGGCCCAGATGCTGGTGCGTTGCTAAAAGCTCCACCTCCCCCCACCATGGCGTTGATAGGCCCCGCCCCTGCTCCTGAGGCTGCTAGCATTACTAGAATGGTGATGCAGAGCATTTTTCCTGTTAATAACTTTATAGATTGCGGCTCATTGGGAGAAAGCACCATCAGGTCACATGGTCGCCGGGAAGCTCGCCCTTATCAGAGCAGAACCTGGACAACAAAACATTTCTGCTCATGGCTGATGTCATTCAGAGGGAGACCCGCGACATCAATTCTGTCTTTAATGGAGATCATGTGACCACAGCTTCCAGTCACAGCTCAGAATAATCCTTCTTTATCTCATCCTCTGAAACAAGCTCCTCCCACTTTCAACTGACATTTAATATGGACGACCGGCATCAGTGTATTACAATAATAATAACTATTATTATTATTATTATAAACATAAATGAGGTCAATATTAAACTAAGCCAGTGCAGAAAACAGATTCATGACCAAACAGGTGACTCAGGAACATGAAAGCTGAGCGGCAGCTTTACGCACCTGGAGGCTTCTCCTCATAAATCATCGGTTGTTTGGATCAGCAATCTCGTTTAAATATGTCACACTGCAGACAAACGATGTTTGAGAGGGGAAATTAAGTTTATAGGATTCACAGAAAGTGTGCAACAGTTAATCTAAATTAGGCAGGTGCAGAAATTTGGGCACCAGAAAAATGACATCAGTATTTAGTAGATCCGCCCTTGGCAGCATTAACAGCCTCTAAAGGCTTCCTGTAGCTTCCAGTGAGAGTCTGGATTCTGGTTGAAGGTATTCTGGACCTTCGTTGACTGGAATTCATGCCACCCTCAACTTTAATGAGACTCCCAGTACCGGCACTGGGCCCATGGCCCCACAGCATGATGGGACCACCACCAAATTGTACTGTGGGTAGTGTTTCTCTTGGCCTGCTGGGTTCTGTTTCCACCATGCACGCCGCCTCCTGTTGTGTCCAGAGAGCTCAGTTTTAGTTTCATGAATCACAGCAGTTTATTCCAAATTGCAGCTGGCTTTCCAGTCGTGCTGTAGCATACCTCAGGCTTCTTCTGCATACTCTCTCATACAGCATCTCTTTGTGCACAGTGACACCATCTGCAGCCAGAAGGTATCCTTCCCCTAAACCATGATGTTGAACAGTCTTTGTTTCCAGTTGTTTGAGGCTCCCATGTTGCCACTGAGAACCTGTTCCTGTTCTGTTGGATTCACCTGCATGTAGGTCAAGTGTGGCTGAGCTCACCAAACAAATTCTCTGTTCCAATAAAATGGTAATAAAATGGTAAATGGCCTGTATTTGTATAGCGCTTTACTAGTCCCTAAGGACCCCAAAGCGCTTTTAAACTACATCCAGTCACACACACATTCACACACTGGTGATGGCAGCTACATTGTAGCCACAGCCACCCTGGGGCGCACTGACAGAGGCGAGGCTGCCGGACACTGGCGCCACCGGGCCCTCTGACCACCACCAGTAGGCAACGGGTGAAGTGTCTTGCCCAAGGACACAACGACCGAGACTGTCCAAGCCGGGGCTCGAACCAGCAACCTTATGATTACAAGGCGAAAGGTATCGAATCAATAAAACGACAAAGGTGCCTAAATTTCTGCACCTGCCTAAGTTAGAGTAACTGTTGCTCACTTTGTGTAAACTTTATTTCACCTCTCAAACATCATCACGTTCGTCTGCTGTGTGACAGATTTAAATGAAATTGCTGCTCCAAGCAACAGATGATGTATGAAGAAAGATCATGAAAATGATCAGAGGTTCCCGAACCTTTGCACACCACTGTAAGTAACTGATGATGTCATCGCTGACAGGAGAGCCGGGCTCAGATGAAGGTCGTGGAGAGGGAGCTGAGAGATCTGACACTGGAGCACGATCTGCTGCTGCAGGCCTCTGAGAAGGTAACCCGCCCCCATCATCTCCTCTCCTGCCTCCATCCATGATGTTGACGGTTGTGACCATGTTGGCGTCCCGCAGGTGCAGCAGGAGCGCGACGAGCTGCTGAAGAAGCAGAGGGACGCCATCATGGACGTGCAGCAGAGGAGCGAGCTGAAGGCGGTGATGTTGGAGAGGAAGCTGGCAGCGCTCACTGAAACCTTGGAGAAGAAGGAGGCTCAGCTGTGCGCCGCGCTCTCGGCCTCCAGCGCCGATCCGACGGCAGCAGGCAGCGCCGCCAGCAGGCTGGAGGTAAAGATGGCGCTCGCACGTTTACAGGAAGCCAATCGTTAACACGAAGATGTGCAGATAAACGTCTCCACATCCAATTAGATCCGAGCGCTCACATGTCTGACCTTTGTAGGCCATCGTGGAGCAGAAGCACAACACCATCGCGGCCTTAAAGGAGGACCTGGCTCAGCAGCGTAAGGTGAGCGGTGGTGGGCGGGGCACAGCTCACCTGTCAGCAGCTCAGGTGGTGACTGACTGAGCGTTTCTGTGCAGGGGTACGACGAGCAGAGGGAGGGGCTGAAGACTTGAACCTGCGCAGCAGATCCTGGAGGGACCGGCCGCCACGAACTTGCCGCCACGGATTTGAAAAGAAGTTAAACTCTTTCAAAATAAAACGCATTTCCTTCTGAAGATGTGACTGAATCGTTCCACGAAGCTTCTCCAATAATGTGGAAAGAAAACTTGATCCTTTTGACTGAATATTTCTGCTGTTATTGTTTACAGACCTCACTGCTGCTGCTGATCTACCAAAACAAACTAAATAAAACTTCTTTTGGTTGGACTTTGAATTTTTATTGGTCTGCACTGAAAGGTTTTGGTTCTTTTCCCTTAAAGACAAACAGCAGGGATTCACTCCGACACGAGGGCGGAGCGCGAGGGCGGAGCACGATCGCTGCACGCTTAGCATGAAAGTGATTAATGTGCAGCTGTGAAACACGAGACCGGCAACAAGGAAAAGAGAAACAACAGGATCCACATGTCAGCTTTTATTTAAATACATGGTCAATGTAGAAAAGTCAGTTATTAGAAACGTCACTGTTTCTGCTTCACTGAACATCAAACCTGGAGCTCCGCCTTCTTAATTGGTCTGTTACTACGGTAACCTCACAGCAGCTAAAAACACCCCAACATCACGAACACGTCCAGAGGCTACAGCTGCCTGTGTCACCATCCACCTGTCAGTCAGAGGCCACGCCCCTAATCATGAAAACTTTTAATACAATTTAAACGTCCTCGGCTGTTACGGAGGAGGAAACGGTCCAGAGAGCAACCAGTTTGTGCATCAGGCTGTGAAACTGTGTGATTCACTTCTTATTTTAAGCCCAGAAGTTAAAGTTTTAAAGTTTTTCCCAGTGATTCTGTAAAAGGAGTTTTTTTATTTTATTTTTTTGCTGTGGAGCTGAAGGTTTTCACTCTTCTCGTTAATCGTGGTCACAGTTTCTGATGATGAACTCCGTGTGCACTAAGCTCAGGCTGCTTGAAACAGTTTTTTCTGGATAAAGTCACTGAGCTGGCTTGAAGTGGGTGGAGCTAAAGCAGACAGAGGCTGAACTGAGATAAAGGATTTGAGAAGCTTTGGGGCTTCGACTCGGAGTTCGATCTGTCTGAGAGCAGCACTCACAGCCCAAACCGTGATCTAGGTAACGTTCTGGGCGTCTCTCGTCATTCTTCCCACTCAATGAGTTAAACTGCAGGAATGTCTTAAAGACATAAAGACCTGGATGGCCGCTAACTTTCTGCTTCTTAATTCAGATCAAACTGAGGTTATTGTACTCGGCCCTGAAAAGCTTAGAAATATGGTATCTAACCAGATTCTTACTCTGGATGGCATTACCTTGGCCTCCAGTAACGCTGTGAGGAACCGTGGAGTCATTTTTGACCAGGACATGTCCTTCAGTGCACATATTAAACAAATATGTAAGACTGCGTTCTTCCATTTGCGCAACATCTCTAAAGTTAGAAATATCCTGTCTCAGAGTGACGCTGAAAAACTAGTTCATGCATTTATTACTTCCAGGCTGGACGACTGTAATTCATTATTATCAGGAAGTCCTAAAAACTCCCTGAAAAGCCTTCAGCTAATCCAAAATGCTGCAGCAAGAGTCCTGACAGGGACTAGAAAGAGAGAGCAGGTTTCTCCTGTTTTGGCTTCCTGTTAAATCCAGAATTCAAAATCCTGCTCCTCACATACAAGGTCTTAAATAATCAGGCCCCATCTTATCTTAATGACCTTGTAGTACCATATCACCCTATTAGAGCACTTCACTCTCGCTCTGCAGGCCTACTTGTTGTTCCTAGAGTATTTAAAAGTAGAATGGGAGGCAGAGCCTTCAGTTTTCAGGCCCCTCTTCTGTGGAACCAGCTTCCAGTTTGGATTCAGGAGACAGACACTATCTCTACTTTCAAGATTAGGCTTCAAACTTTCCTTTTTGCTAAAGCATATAGTTAGGGCTGGACCAGGTGACCCTGCATCCTCCCTCAGGCTACGTTCACACTGCAGGTCTTGATGCTCAATTCCGATTTTTTGATCAAATCAGATTTTTTTGTCTGCTCATTCACACAAACGTGCTCTAGTGTGAACGCTCAAAGCGGCCGCATGCGCAAAAGAAGACGTCCCACACAACGCGCTCTGTTTAGACCCAGACCAACAGCATTGTTTGACAGATGGCCGTTAATATAAAGACTTCGAACTTTACGTTTCCCAGTTTTTGCTTTAAGTTATTTTGTTATTTACATAATAATGTAAATAACCTAATAATGATCCTTGTTGCTGTTTTAGAGGAGCGGAGCTTCTAGCTGCAGATTTCTGTCAGAATCTGCAGATTATACAGTACAAATAAAATGTTCACGTTTCTCCAACGCTGTCTTCCCAACAGTTTCATGGGATGGACAGGAAGCATTCACGATGTCTTCTTCGGCACTGATAATTGGTGTCTGTCTTGTGTCAGTGACTAAAACATCGGATATGTTTCAGATTCAGCACCACATACGAAAGTGACCCAGGTCGGACCTGAAAATATCGGATTTGTGCCGTTCACACTGTCACACCATGATCGGATATGAGTCGCATAGGGCCAGAAAAATCGGATTTGATGCGCTTTCGCCTGCAGTGTGAACGCAGCTTTAGTGATGCTGCAACAGGTGTAGGCTGCTGGGGGATTCCCATGATGCACTGGGTGTTTCTTCTTCACTCACTATGTGTTAACAGACCTCTCTGCATCCACAGCATGTCTTCATCCTGTCTTCCTTCTCTCACCCCAACCAATCACAGCAGATGGCCCCGCCCCTCCCTGAGCCTGGCTCTGCCGGAGGTTTCTTCCTGTTAAAAGGGAGTTTTTCCTTCCCACTGTCGCCAAAGTGCTGCTCATAGGGGTCATATGACTGTTGGGTTTTTCTCTGTATGTGTTATTGTAGGGTCGACCTTACAGTATAAAGTGCTTTGAGGCGACTGTGTGATTTGGCGCTGTGTAAATAAAGCTGAACTGAATTATACATAATGTAGACGCTCACAGTAACTGTCCAGGTTCAGTGTGGCTGCTGTTAACCGAGGTGTGATCGTTCACCTGTTGTGTCGTGACAGCGCGGCGCTCAGCGATACAGAGATCCACCTCCTGATGATCGCAGTGACAAACAGAGGAGGAGCTCTTCTGAAACGAGTGAAGGTTTAATGAAGTGATTCTAAAAACGCTCAGACCCACTGAGCGCGAGCAGCTGAGCGCGTTACATACAGACCACGGATCGTGCAGAGTCCCACCTGCCTCTGGACAAACACTCGTGCTGAGCAGCAACTGATTGGCCGAGTCTGACGACAGCAGGGAGCCGGAGAGGAAAAGCTGACCTGCACGTTTTCCCTGCTCCTGACCCGCTGAGGCGCCGGGAAAAAGGCACCGAGCAGTTCTGTTTATGTTTTGGTTTGTCAGAGGTTTCCGCCGCCCTCTGATGCGGCGCGGCGGTCAGCCGGTGCCGTGGCTACTGTACTCGAAGACGCCTTTCTTGAAGAACGAGGAGAAGTCGCAGACGTCTCGTTTGGACAGATGGAAAAGGCCGTCTTCGTCCGCTCGGAGGGGCGAGCTGGAGGACGACAGCATCACTCGGAACAAGTTCCTCAGATAACGCTGCAGTGAACCACAGAAGAAGAAAGTCGGCTGTGTTAGTGAGCCAAAACATTAAGAACACTCACAGGTTAAGTGCAGCTGGCCCTTATCAGACGTCCTCATCATCCTCCTCACCATCATCAGTGCTCTTTGACTCCCTCTCTGTCCTCTGAGAATACCTGCCTACAGCCCACCCCCACACGGACCACAGCCAATCAGCTCAGACTCAAAAACGTTACGTTTGAAGTCTTCGAGTGAAAAATTCATACAAAATAAAGCACAAGCGTCCTGGTCACCTCTCGTTCAGATTACTGTAACGCTGTTCTCCCAGAAATCTCCTTAATCAGCCCCAAATGTTCCTCCACGTACCTCCAGGTGATTCTGCCGCTCGGCGACCATTCGCTCGTCCCGGTTTCCAAACAGCTTCTTTGGCGGGAAATCGAGAGCGGCGAGCTGAAACAGACAGAGTTCAGAGACGATCACCTGGCGCCAGAACACTGAGTATAAAGGTATAAGCTAGCCTCTTCATCAGGACGTCTCTGTGACCAATCTGTAAGGCTGAACCTGGACTGAGACCAGGTGAGCTCAGGTGACTGTGGAGCACCGTTTGGTCTTTCAGGTGTGCTTCTGCTGCTGCACCAGTCCCTCACCACAAAGACTCAAACCAGCAACTTTCAGATGATCCTTTAATGATCTGTGTTTCAGTATTAAGTTACGAGCCAGATGCGTCATCAGTGTCCTGTGGGCTACGCTGTAGAGCTGAAGGTTTTCACTCTTCTCGTTAATCGTGGTCACAGTTTCTGATGATGAACTCAGTGTGCACCAAGCTCAGGCTGCTTGAAACACAGTGTTTTTTCTACTCTGGGATCTGGATAAAGTCACTGAGAGCTGGCTTGAAGTGGGTGGAGCTAAAGCAGACAGAGGCTGAACTGAGATAAAGGGTTTGAGAAGCTTTGGGGCTTCGACTCGGAGTTCGATCTGTCTGAGAGCAGCACTCACAGCCCAAACCGTGATCTAGGTAACGTTCTGGGCGTCTCTCGTCATTCTTCCGACTCAAACACAGAAACGTTTTTCTGCTGCTTTGATCTGTAAACTGTTCTAAAAGCTGGTGACGTGTCTCACCTCTGGATATTTTAACTTCAGGCTCTTGTGCATTTCCCGGAAGCGGCTGTAGCGTCTGAACACCGTCCACGTCTCGTCCATCACAGTGATCTGACCAAAGAGAAGCACATGAACATCGAGATGATGGACACCAAATCTGAGCTCGCTGATCTACTCAGCCATTCTACAAGAATGACACATCTGGATACCAGTGGAGATGGACCACCAGTTTACTTGACTTATTGGTGACGAGTCAGAAAGTGCACGAGTCTGTCATTTCACCACTTTAAGTGAAGGCGAGCAACAGATCCAAGCGGGCGTGGCCTGAGAGAAGCTCTGCTCAACTTCGAGGTGAGCGACTGAAGCAACTACCAATGAGAGTGCAGGACACTGTAAATACGTTAGAGGGTTACCAAGGCAACCAGACCCTGGAAC